ACGGTCGCGTGTCTGAGGCCAGCCTCTCGAAGTCGATCGCCCACTGGTTTGACACAAACGGCGTCCTATTGCTCGACAAATTCGAGGCCGAAGTCCTCAAACTGCACGACAGCCTCCTCTCAGACAAAAAGAATAAATAATTTATTTATTTTTAATTTGTATTTTTGGTCAAAATTTAATTCACAAACTGTTCGCACTTTTCTTTTTTTAAAGCATTATTTTTATGATTGTTTTTTTGTAATACCCGTAGTATTTGATAAGTTTTGTATTTAATTTAAGAGCCGTTCTCTCTATACGTGTGACTAGTATTTAAAGATTTATTAATAAAATTGTTTGGAATATATTGTATGTATATTCTGTTGGAAATGTAGTTTTCATTGTTTTTAAGTACCGTATAATAATAAAAGGGATTCAATTTATTGCTCATAAATTGGTGAATAAATAGTGAATTAAATGCATAAATAATTAGATTTAAAGCCATTTTTATCGCTTTTTGGATAGAGGGAGGGGAGGGAAAGGGCCTATAAAATATACAATAAGACCAATAGTTGGACAATAAGACCAGTAATTATCACAATAAGTATTCACTAATAGTTTGCCAAAAAGTTTAGCATTTGAATGGAGTTATCGACTGAAACGAGAGGACGAAAAGTGTGTTCAAAAAAGCCGGTAATTCATAGCAAAGCGCTGACAATAAAAGGCGCGTTCAGTGCATATGAAAAGGTAGCACTACTTCGATTGGTTGTGCAGTAAGTATTGGCGCGACTCACGCATCGACTTATGGGTCCCTTTTGACGCCATTTTCAGTGTTCATCCGTAGACTCAAAAAGTGCTTAAACTCTAATCGATACTCAAATACCTATTCATATGCAGTGTAGCGCCGATTGCTGTTAATTGCTAACTGTATTCACCCGATTATAATCATCAAGGTAAGCATTTAGTTTATTAATTATGATAGTATCAATGTTATTTAGAGATTGGTTTATAAGAAAGTGTGTTTTACTTATTGGTTTGTTTATCCAAAACACATTCATTGCCTCAAAAGGCTTTGCATTCAATGGCAAAGCCATTCATTACAGTATTTTCATAGACTCTATGTTTTCATACTATTTCTGACAAACAAATTGTTTATCAATTCTTTAACTTTACATTCATTACTGTTATGATATATAACTTTAAAAAGTTTTTTAATTAAATTTAATCTCTAATTAAATCAATTTTTATTCAAACACGAGTTGAACTATTCTTTGTTAATTTATTACTACCATTACTTGATTTTGTTTTTAACACTTTGTATAAACTTATGAAAACTTTAATTCATAATAATTTACATCAAATTTATAAAGTTTTTTGACAACTAATTGTCTGTCGAAGTGGTGGTCAGCGATGGCTCGAAACGATTCGTACGACAAGATCTCTGAACTGATCCAACAGTACGCGGCGGAAGCGCTTCCCGAAGATGTCAAAGACATTATCCCCGACTTCTTCATGGAATCGGTGCACATCTCGGAACAGATCGAGACTATGGGTCGCTTTGATTACGTCACCGATTCTGTGGCCGATGAAGGTTTGCCACAAACTTATGGATAACTCTTAAGAATAACTTTCATCTCATTTATGATACAAATTCTTGGATATCGTTGCCATTAATAGAGTATATCATTGGATCGAGTCTTGACACCAACGGCGATGTGGACACGGATTCAATGCCACCGTTGCGTAACGTCTTAAGCAATTTGGATGACATCCCAAATGACCTGAAAATGTCGGGTCAGGTGTTTGACGAGTACTTCCGAGAGGGCTGTGGATGTCATCGCAAATGCAACGAACGGTTCCCCAAATTCATGGCATTTGAGGCCCATTTGG